GGAACGAAGCTATGAAAATGTGTATATTGTCTTGTCGATGTGCTTTTCCAATGCAAATTTCTGCTTATACTACCATCTGATTTCTTTGAAAGAAGGACATTTAAGAAGGCAATTACTCCTACTTTAGGATTCCTCCTCACACGAGAATTTCAAAGCAGAAAGTACCAGTAATTAAGGGGTAGAAAAGATCAAAAACAGGAATTAAAATGTAAGTGAGCATTCAAGTGGACTACACGTAATAAGCAAATAAATATTGAATAGTCAGGAAAAGGGCTTAGAGGGAGGGCTAAATTGTCAGCCTTTTTCTACATTCATGTAACAATGGTCAAGGTAAGGAACGTGGCTGTAGGAATTTCTTCTGAACACACACACACACACAGATTTAATTTCATCAGCTAGATTGCCGATGACTTCAGTTGTGTGTAAAAGATAAACAAATTACAGTTTGGCTTCGGCTGTTTATTATTATTGTTCCTTTGGGTTCCTAGTGGAACATAGGACTTCAACTGCACGTCTCCACTTGATTCTCTCTCCTCCTGTACTTTTCACCTGAATCCGTCCATGTTAGTCCCTACTCTTTCAACTCCTCCATGTCACACTTGCACTGACGTCCCACTCGCCACTTCCCTTTTGGCCTGGTTCCATTCGAGAAATGGCCTGATGCGCGAATGATGTCACCCAGCGGCCCGGCCTCCTCAGCGAGTGAGTGTCCAATCCATCCATCTCCACTTTCTCCAACTGCATATTTGTTGGTTGGCGATTGGTTCTTGTTTTCTTTGTTTGTTCCCATAGTTTCTTGTTGGTGGTGATTCTTTCCCGCCCGACCATTTGATCTTCAGTATAGAGCCAGCGAAGACAGTTGTTGTCGATAAAGATCTGCGAAAGGCTATTGGAAATATTCTTTGTGACCCACCCGCCAAGTTTCTGATCCGATTCGTATAGAAGAACTGACTGACTTCAGTTTGTTTGTATTGAAAATCCGACCGGATTTTGTTGTTGATGCTGGCTGAGTGACGAAGATTTCCAGATTGGTTTCAGGTTGATGAATGTGTTTCTCGCCTTCCCGATTTCTCGCTCGATTTGACATCCTCGTCCGCTCCGTCTGCTTGTAGTTGAGACAATGCTCCCTAGATAAGGGAATGAAGTAACCTCTTCTGCTGTTTGATGTGTTCGATATTTGAAAGTTTTTAGCAATTCATTCGGTATCCGATAGATGACAGCTTATTTGGATGAGATGGTCTAATGTATAGAACTGCTGAAGATGGCTTTATCTACAACCTAGATACTGGAAAGTGCGAGTTGCCTTTTACCAGCTATTAAATGTCCTTTGAATTGATTGTCTCAACTTGAACTTTCAAGGCCGATAAGCTAGAACTCACATTTTATACATGATTGATTGTCCTTTCTCATCTGAAAAATGAATTACCTAAACGAACCATCTCTAATTGTATCGATCATTTCGGCTGCTGTCATGCAAACCCAGTTTTATTAGACCGCCATTGGATCGGGTCCCAGTGGCTCAATGGTCTACGAGCTCACTAACCTTGTAACCAGAAGGTCCTGGGTTCAAACCCCCAGTGATGGGTGGGTACGCGCTGCTGAAGATTCCTAAACTAGGACGAAACAGCTATCCAGTACTCCAGTGCTGGTTTTCAATAGTTCTTCTTTAACTAATATCAATCCATGGTCAAACTCGAGAAACGAATCAAAACCTGACAGATTTCACTCTGAGGCAGAAACACTAAGAACTAAACGCATGAAATTAGCTACTGACCACCTGCTGGCCAATCAAAATAATCCATCTTTTCAAATCACTAATGAACACCTTTTTAATCAATACAACATTACTTTACATAATTCTGATTGGCTAACACAAATATCCTAAGTCAAGGTCATTCAATATCTAGGCGCTTAATTCAATTTTCTTTCTTTTTTTGTTGTTGTGAATAGTTAAACAATACACTAACAGCTCTTCATAAGGTTTCACATGATGCTCAAATTTTTGTTGTAAATCCAACTAACTAGAAAGTTATAAGACCGTTAGTAAATAGCAGAATACATTATGCTGAGAGAAGGGCGAAAACTAACGCACGCACACATTATCAATGTTCAACGTTGTTCAATGTTCAATTTTTGTATTTGCATGTCTGTGTGCATTGTTTAAGTGGTACTTTTTGTCTTATTATTTGTTCACTTATTTGTCGTATGTTTTCCGGAGAGGAGAACGCATAATTGACTGAGAATAATAATAATAATAGTTTTTAATTACACGTTACTTTATTTCTTCAAAACTGTCAGTTTGAAAAGGATGGAAAACAAAACATGCATAATCGTTGTTGTTGGGCTTTTGTTTAACATGTTTTAACACCAAGGTTTTTGTTAGGTAGTTTTCATGTGATGAGTGTCATGTTATTATGTCTAGCGTGCAAGGGAGTTTATAAAACCAGCAGACAGGAAGTTAAAATAAAACTCGAACGCATACTACTATTTTCCTGCAATCTGGCGATTGATTCTAATTCTGGAACAATTCCCTTTAAAAATGAGTTGTTTGTGTTCTAAGCGACTAATAGGTGTTTGATTAGGAGCGGTGATATCCGTTAAGGAGAAGAATTGGAAACCAGAAGGAAGTACTGGCGATTCATTTTAGCCCTAGTTTGGGATTCTTCAAAACAGTATGCACCCACTCCATGGGTTCCAAGCCCGGCCGGGTAAAGTGGGAGGACTGGGCATAGGGGTTAGCGACTCTACACCAGAAAAAGCTATGAAATTGCTAGAGAAACTTCAACGCACAAGAGATGTGTTAAAAATACGAAAAAATTCAAAACAACAATTTTATTCTTTTCTGGAATCGGAGGGGGTTTGGTGAAATGACACAGCGAGCTGGTGAAAGCCAGCCTTCGGGAAGCACTGAAAACGGACCCAGAGACTGCGGTAGATGTTCTCATACCATTATTACAAAAGGTTTGGAAAGAAGGAGAGATATCTGCCTATTGAAAGAGAGGCTAGCTACCTTGTCAAGCTGCCAGAGAAAGTTGACTTAGGCCTCACTCTGCAAGAACTGACTAGCGTGGGGCAATACTGTTCTCCAAGCCAAGTTAAAATACCAAGTCGTATCATCTTGAAAAGAATAAAAGATTCACTGAATACAGAACTCCATCAACCGGGAAAAAACTGGATTCAGGGAAGGCAAATTATGTTTGGATGACATTGCAGTTCTACACACCATCATCGAACAATCCATGGAATGCCAGTAACACCTCTACCTCAACTTCATCGACTTTGAAAAGACCTTTGACAGAAAACGTTGACTGAGAAGTAATTTAAAAAAACTGTTTCAACACTACGACGTGCAGTGTCCGAAGTCTTAATCAACCTCATTCAACACCTGGCTATATGGCAATGTCTGCCGTGTGTTAGGTGACCCACAAAGGAAAACTCAGCGAGGCGTTGGATGGGAATACAGTAATAAGACAAGTTGGCTGGCTGCCTATTTTCATTCACGATGATATTCTTAATTATGGTGGGCCGGATTATGCGTCAGGTTGTGGGAAGCGAGGAGGCAGGAGAACGCTTCACCACCGATAAGAAGACTTTAGAATCTCTGTGGATTTCGCAGGTGATATATGTCTAGTGTCACAGAAACTCGAAGACTTGCAGGAACCCAAAGGAATAATAATAATAATATAATTTGACATAATATAATAATATACACCCACCAAGGTTTAAATCCAGGACATTCTGGTTACAAAGTGAGTTCGTAGACCACTTAGCCATTGGCTGTTTGTAGGGACTTACTTGGAGTTATAGTGAGATGTGTTAACCAGCGTGGTTCCCCAAGTTAGGTAAGAGGATGATTGGAAGAAGTTCCAAATTCATTGCCCACTGAATTAGGTCACACTGACTCAATGGTCTACTAGAAGGACTTGTAACCAAAGGTTCTCAGATTTGAACGACAGCGGGGTGAGTACTGATGAAGAGCCTTAAGCTAGGAAAAAACAGCTGTTTCGTATTTCTTCATAACAATCAAATCTCTGCCGACACTTACGCTTGGAAACATTCTGAACTAATGCGTACTAAACTGGTAAATGACTTATGACTACTTCAAAATATTCCGTAGTATACGACCCAATCCCAGGATTAATTCACACAGTCACACAAAATTCCTCGAATGTGCCAGGATAAAAATAGGTGGGGGTGGGGCTAAATATGAATCGGTTTCAAGTTTGACTAAAGAACCACTGAAAACCATCAGGAAGTAAGAGACAATTGTTTCATCCCGTTTTTCAACTCATCACAGTACTCAAGCATAACCTTAGCACTAGGCGTCGAACCGAGGCATTTTGAGGTTAGGAGTTGAACTCAGTGACAATTATTCAGCCACTGTAATGAAGTGCACTTGCCAGCCCATGAATTCTAGCTCCTGTCGATTCACGATTGCAGCACAACCACCAGTTAATGTTGTCGACTTGGTCGACCTTACTGGTCACTACTTCCCACTGACAACTCCAGATAGTGATGATCTAACTGTCATCAATCCATGAACAAATTTTAAACACATAGAGCCCCTACAAACCAACACACTTGGATTCTGAACGAAGTTCCCTGGAGTTTAAGTGCTAATTCGTGACTACTGGGATCCATCAGGTCATGTGTGAGGACAAACAGTTACTGATGATATTAACTGGCGGTCGTGGTGAAATTGTGAAAAGAAGGATTACTGGATTTGTTCCTTTCCTTGATATTGGTTGGCTCCGAGATCTAGTAAGCGGGTTTCAACCTCTGTGGGGCTCTTCAACCAGGTGACGAGCTAGCTGCCGAAACTCAAGGACGGGATGCCATTGCCAATTACCATCAGTCAAGCAACATGATAATTGTCTCAATGCATCGTCGAGGAGTCTCTGCTAGGAACCCATATGACAACAGGAACAGGTCATTTTCACTGCAATATAGAATCAACCAAAGTGAAATACATAAAAATAGAGAATAACAAAAATAAAAATTTATAAATTTACCAATTTCTTTGTAGTGAATGAAAATGTTTCACTTGGCAGTGATGTATCCCCATCTTGACCAACACATCTTGCCCATACAGTGTACTCGGTATACGGTTTCAATTGAGTCAGTGAGATAATTAAGACATTCTGTAGAAGATTGGATCCAGCCGGTTGACTTGACAGTAGACTTTGTTGATTCGCGTCAACATCACGAATACTTGAGGCTTGGTGGTAATTATTCCCCACGAGTGAGGGGCCAGTTAGATTTTTCAGTGATTTTGGTAGAATTATAAGATTCAACTTTAAGTGAGAGGAATAAAAGAAACCATAAGAATAAAAAATAAACACTATTATTTCGGAAAAAACAATTATACTACTATTATTGTTATTACTGTTTTATTATTATTCCCCTGGTTTCTCGAGTGGAATATAGGGTTTCAACGGCAGATCACCATTCCACACTGTTCTCTGCGATCCTTTTCAGATAGACCCCATGATTACTCATAGGTCTCCCTCCATCTTATCGCACGATCTCTTCCGGGTCACAGCTCAGATGCAATTCCAGGTGGGCGTTTCTCATTCAAGTTCTACTAGTCGGTAAAACTGGCGTGCGATGCCAGCCAATGGTTTTCTTAGAGTATGTTCAATCCATCTCTATTATCTTCTGCATATTTATTACGTAATAGGTGCTTGGTTGATTCGTCGCCTACAAGAATGGCCTGTTTCTAATCTTTACCGGCGGGAGATCTGATCTTCAGTAAAGAGCCTGGAGGTGTGGGGTAACTGTTGATGAAAGTCCGAAGGTGACTGTCTCGTCAAGTTTCTGACTCATGTAGAAGCAGTTACTTAACAATGATGTTGAAAATTCGAAAATTTTACTCCTTATGCAAGAAGTTCCACGAAGTTACGTGGACTTCTAGTAATTAGCTGTGATCAGCATGCTCCACCAAGTCAAGCAAGGGAAGAGTTACTCACCAATGACGTTGACTGGTGAACTTTTGGAAGTTGGAACTGATAGGTCGTTGGATCGGCTCAGTGGTGAACTACGTCACTTTGTAACGGGAACGTTGTGGGTTCGAAGCCTGGTGGGTGCATACTACTGCCATTGAAATTAGCCTGGATGGCTGTCTTTGATCGTAGGTGCCTGTGTTCTATATATCGTATGAAGTGGTAAAGTAGATGAGCAGTATTGAGATTAGGCATTTGCTCAGTGCTGGGTAAGGAGGGGAAATCAATAGACCAGGCTGTGGAGTTATATCGACTGAAATGGTTTGGACATGTGTTACGAATGCCTAACGATCACCTTCTTTGAGGGTTATGTTAGCTGACATAGGATCTATAAGTTTGGAAAAGAGCCAGTCGTGGTCAAACGGAAAAACATGGCTTCATCAGTCAATGAAATCCACAACAGTTCAGTTTAAGCCACGTAGGAAAGTGTAGACCTCTGGTTGAGGTCCTCGGACGGTAAAAACCAATGGTGGCTGGAGACAATTGGTGATGTGGTTCTGGCTCGAAATTGTCGTTCTCAATAGCTGGCTGGCGCAGATGCATCCACTCCTTGTGACTTACAGTATTCCATAAAACTATATTATTCTTCGACATTACCATTCTTGTTGCCTAATTTCTCCATTTACCGTCTCTGTTTTTTGAATTTGTTTTTACTTTCTTCTCTTGCTTTGTGTGCTACATGGAATGTGGCAAGTCGAACTGCTGCACATCAGTGCAAAGTTCTACGTTGAAACCAGTCAGTCAGTCAGTAAGTCATTGTTGAAGCGTCTCAAACTGGGGCCAAACAGCTGTGTTCAGTATTCCCTGGTCATCTAATGGTTCTCTAACTCATATGAACTCACGATTAAACCTGGAGCCTTAGATTACGATGCCGTTTGCTCCATTGGAACCTAAAACAATGAGAAAGACGTCGATAAAGAAAGTTGGAGAGCCATCATCAAACATGCAGCTGCATAGATGTCATACTTTCCATGCTATTTCATTACACATTGGATTTCTCTCCTACCTCCTCTTTTCAACTTATTCTACCATTCCGTACCACTTAAGATTCTTGTTGGAAAAGGCACTATATACTATTTGGAAATTCTTGATTTCGAGGATTATTTATGTCTAATGTCAGAAAAACTGAAAGATCCAGCGGGGAAAACCAACAATTGGGTAGAAGAACCAAGCAGAGGAGAGAGGAATTTAACTGAGGACATAGAGAAGACCGACCGCCCTCAAAAATAAGGACTAATCACCAATCCGTAGGAGAAATTTGAAGGAAGTCACGACTTCCCCTTGTCTAGCTAATCAGCATCGCTTCAATTACAGGCGGAATGGATGAAGACGTCAAAATGCAGTCATTATGGGAAAGGTGAGATATATCTTTATTATCATTACTTCTCTGTGGTTCAGATAGTTGAATCACGTGTCACCAAAAGCGTGGGAAACGAGAAGACAGGGTTATCCTGGACAGACAGACGTGAAGAACCTAGAAGACCTGGATTTCGCGGGTGGATGATTTATGTTTGATGTCAGTGTCACAAAATCGAAGACTTACAAGCGAAAACCGACCGACAAACTGGTCGAAGAAGCAGCCGGCGAAGACAAGACTCCAAATGAACATAGACAAGACGGAGGTTATGAAAATAACCAACCAACCAACAACAACAACAGCTACATCCAGCCAACAGCCAATCACCATCAACGGGAAGAATTTGAAAGAGGTTACTTCATTCCCTTATCTAGGGAGCATTGTCTCAACTACAAGCAGACGGAGCGGACGAGGATGTCAAATCGAGCGAGAATCGGGAAGGCGAGAAACACATTCATCAACCTGAAACCAATCTGGAAGGAAATCTTCGTCACTCAGCCAGCATCAACAACAAAATTCGGTCGAATTTTCAATACAAACAAACGTCAAGTCAGTCACTTCTTCTATACGAATCGGATCAGAAAGTTGGCGGGTGGGTCACAAAGAATATTTCCAATAGCCTTTCACAGATCTTTATCGACAACAACTGTCTTCGCTGGCTCTATACTGAAGATCAAATGGTCGGGCGGGAAGAATCACCACCAACAAGAAACTATGGGAACAAACAAAGAAAACAAGAACCAATCGCCAACCAACAAATATGCAGTTGGAGAAAGTGGAGATGGATGGATTGGACACTCACTCGCTGAGGAGGCCGGGCCGCTGGGTGACATCATTCGCGGATCAGGCCATTTCTCGAATGGAACCAGGCCGAAAGGGAATTGGCGAGTGGGACGTCAGTGCAAGTGTGACATGGAGGAGATGGTGTGAAGAGGAGTTGAAGCAATATGGACTAACATGGATGAAAGCAGGTGAAAAGTACAGGAGAAGGAGACAGAAGTGGCAAGTGGAGACGTGCAGTTGAAGTCCTATATTCCACTAGGAACGCAAGGGAACGATAACAATACTAATAATGATAGTCACCTAAAGCATTTCATCAGTGACCTTCGCGAGCTCTATACCAAGAATCACATGCTAAATCAACAAGGAACTCTAGCAGACGGCAAACCTGACCAAGAACCAATGTAATTAGAGATGGATCGCACATACACCGAGGAGACCACTGAATGCCCGTGGCTCGGCTGGAACCCCAGTGGCGAAAGGCCACTTGGACATCGCTTCGACAGAGGAGGAGGCAACGACAGCTAAAGCGAACCACAGTGAATAGGATGAAATGCTGATCTGGCTAAGAACGCCCCCTCCCGTGCCGTGCTGAGAAAGTATCGTTATTCCACACACTGTTCAAAAATGAATTTTTAACATTAGGAGACTAAATAAGTCAACTAGGCCTTCAATTGTCTTCAAAATTCCCATCGATTTCTTTCAACTTTCTTTCTTTACAAAATCCAAATTGTTTTTTTTGCAAATTGTAATGATTTATTTATCTTAATAATACTATTAATAATGACAATTATCATTGTTATTATTATTATTATCATTATTGTTCCAGTCTATTAAATTATCGATTGACTGTCAAATGAAGTTGATTAATTTTATTTGTCTGTATTCTCCTCTTTCACCCCCGTCACCCCTCTACTCTGTACTGTTTTCCCTTGAGAAATAAGCAAAATTCTTCTCATCTGTCTAAATGACTAACACTGACAAGCGGATGAAATACGCACAAACGACTTACTGACTTCCTTACTTACTTAGTCTGTTATGCTGAAAACAGAATATTTTTTTACAAAAAACAACATCTACTACTGATAACTTCACTCTACTGAGTAGTCATTTCAATATATCTAAGGGAAGGAATCTAAAATGTCGGAAAGATATTCAGATATATATATATATATATATATATATATATATATATATATACAAAATGCCCAGTAGAATAACCACTCTTTGAAATGATTGACTGTCCCTTTTGCGACCAATTCTCAACATCAGGCATAGGACTGTATTCTGGCGTCTATAAGCCAGCCTATAGTTTAGTTTATAAGACTTTATAAGGCAAATATTGACAAATATATAGTCAATTACAAGGGGGCCGGTGGTGGGGGAGCTATGCATATTATTATTACCTCTAAGATACACTATCCTGTTACGTCATTTTGATACTTGTTTGACAGTCTGAAGTTTACTCAAAATTTGTTTGTCTTTAAATTTGTTTATTCTACTTTCATTGTCGCCTATTTGCATTGATTGTGACTGGCTGTTTGTAGATGGGAATTTAGATTAGATTCTATACATGTAGAGGGGATTAAGGCTGGAGGTTCAGTGTGTTCACCATTTTCTTTTGAACACACACACACAGGTTTGTTGGCTTCTTCTTCTTCAGGTGGATTCCTATCGCCTCAGCTGTTGGTATGCAGAAGACGAACTGGTACAGAAAAATTAAGATTAGTAGGAATGTGATAAATTAAATTAAAATGCTGTATTAACTAACGTCAACCTTATGCTTACTATCTACAAGGTGTGCTACAATAGAGCTAGCTACGAACACACCTTGTTTGACTGCAGCTGTGGAGTCAGCTACATCGTGGGGCGTACAATTAGGCAGGTTCATCATCGTATTTCCGAACATCGGTCCAATCGATCGACGGGAAAATCTGAAATTCAACTAAATTAATATGACTTGTAGCACAAGAGGTGGCTCAAGTGGTCTAGTGGATAACGCTTTGGCCTTTGAAACTATGGGCACTGGCAGTCTGGCCTTGGGAGGAACATCATCATTCACTCACTGAGAAATGCAGGTACATCCAGCTACCTGACGAATCCCCTACAGGACGAAATGCGCATCAAGCTGGATTCCATCTACTGCTAGTCACCATCCACCTATTAAATACTAATTGAATGCTCAGACATCGTCGATGCATCTGCACAAGAAGCCGACATGTCAACCTGAGACCGAGCACTTCGGTGTAATCAATCGACAGGAAAATCTGAAATTCAATTAAATCACCCAACATGGTTAAGCAAGGGACAAAAAATATCTATTTGTAGCTCTATTGTAGCACAGCTTATAGATAGTGAGCATAAGGTTGACGTTAATACTGCACATTTAAAATTATTTACCGCATTCCTACTAATCTTGATTTTGCTGTACGAGTTCGTCTTCTACATACGTTAGCTGAAGCTATGGGATTTTACCATTTGTCAAAAGCTTGATCACATAAGTCACTGAAATGCGAACAACTGGCTGAGCTCCTTACTTGAAGGTCCTACGCTTGTTTCCTAACGAGGTCATGGAAGGTTTCCAACGAGAAGGCAACAGCTATCTAAACGTTCAGCGGTTTCTAGTGCTTTTCTAACAGGTTTTAGGTTTGGGACGGAATTTGCATTGATAGAATTATTATTATTATTCCCGAAGGTTATTGGTGCTTCATTTAACTTGTTATCTGAGGTCTTTTTTGATTTGATTGCCTCGGAAATATGTCAGATTCGATGCCAGCTCCTCAATTGAGCACCACTCTAGGGCCTGGCGCGTGATGTTATTCAGCGGCCTCCATAGTGCCCCGTGGATCCAACTCCACTTTCTTTGGGATATTTCAAATGGCGGTTGGTATTTAGTTGGGCCTACAGTGACAAGCACGAAACAATATCAACATGGAAAACTTGAGTGGAGTAGCTGCCTTCCTTTATTTGGTCAGTATCGTTGTAACCACAGGTGGCGACGTGGATCGTGACGTCAAAAGCAGGATCCGAAAAGCAGGACATAGCTTTATTATTCTCCAGTCATTGTGGAAGTCAACTGCACTAGCACTAAGTCAAGTAAGACGTCAGCTAGGTATCACTCCAATCGGACCCAAATGGGAAATGATGTTTGGCCGGGTAGGGAGTGGATTAAAAATAACTGAAAAGAACAGGATGAAAGGTAGACGTGCTTTTCAAGCCCTTCTTCTACTCAAAAACCAAAGGATTAATAATGATTGCTTCACATTGTTATAAACATACACAAATCAATATAATCAATAGTATTCTAGAACAAAAACAACCAATCAGCTTACATCTTCAGGATTAGATGATATTAAAGGTTCAGTTTGATCCACAGATTGACTGATCAGTAGATTTGCTTGATTCGGTAATTCATATAAAGTTTCATTATTGAATTGACTAGTGGGTAACCAAAGGATTAAATAATTTCTAACAGATTCCGATGGGCTACTGCTTGGTTTCAGGGCGATTCGTGCATGTGTAGCACCCAATTCCATTAGTTGAAATTCACCTGGAGGATTAGGTAGATCTGTTGAAGAAGAAGAAGAGACATGCAGATCAATATTAGCGCAACAATCGAATTTATACTCTCGTGGGAACTACTAACAAAACTTTGTGAGTAATATATTGTGTGTGAGATTAAATTAATCTAAATTCCTACAAACCCCATACATCAGTCTGCTAATAAACAATCCCTCTACCAAGTATTGCCATTTTCTGCTGTTATCATACTTTAAGCTTTCTACAACGCTGCGCATAAATTCTGTATTCTCAAGAAGTCGTCGAGGCTTTTTAAGTCAAAGTCGACATGTCGAGGGAAATTGAGTTTTGGAGCTTCAAAATGACGGTTTTCGGCTGGATTAGAATTCCAGTTGGAACAGAATCATTCACTGAGTAGGATCCAGTACTTTCAGGTGACGAGTCCTGAATGGGTTGAAACAAGTATCATCTAGACTCCAATGCTAGTCACCATTAACCAACTAAACATGTTGAGAAACATCTTTAGATGGCTAACAGTAGCATGATGAAGTGATGATATTGGATCGTGAGTCTTTCTAACTTGACTAGAATATACTTCCAAATCAAGACACTTTGACTAACTGATCACTTGCAAAAATAGACAAAAAAAGCAGTCGGACTGGAATAAACACTGAATTCTATTAGACAACGTACATTCTCAGAAGTGTAAGCTATAAATAAAACAAATCTGATTGGTCGAATGAAATCAAAATCCCTCAGAAGATTAGGCCACATATAAACCAATCAGAAACTTGCCGGTAAGATTATCATGTCAGTACATGTATGATTCACGACCTAACGGCTAACAAAGAAGGTTGCCTGTTCCTAACACTTGGCTTAATTGTTGCAGTTTTTCGACAGTTCAAAAGTGTTGTTGTTCACTTTCTTGGTGTTCACTTTGCGCGGAATTCTGTAAGTCATTTTCTCTACCAAGCTAGATGACTTCCATTCATGAAATCTGGAGATCGAAACCTCATACTTGTTGGTTCTTATCACAGTAAGGCATAACAGTAAGCTGGAGGAACCTATATTCCCTCGGAGTTTATATCTTACATCATCTAGTCAGTGTTGCTGTCAGAGAGGTGTTATTATTGAGGCACTTGACCAAGCTCGCCTTGTAACCTGAAGATCTTAGGTTTTGACCCTGGTGGGTGGAGTCACGGTCGTTCACTGATGAAGAATCCTAGCCTGGAACTAAACACCTCTGTACAATACTGCCTCTAAGTAATGTTAATCAATGATCAAACTTTAGAATTTTTGTAATTTTGTGTCAAAGCAAAGTTAATTGAAGCATTTAATCATCACAATTTTAATTACTGTTATTATTATTAATTATTATTATTATTATTAATGTCATCAATGCGTTAAAACATGATATCGTGACAATTAACTAATCAAAATTGACCGGTCCAATCAACACCTGGTCATACTCTCACACTTTTAGTTTATCAAGTAGGCATTAATCCAAATAGACACACACGTATATGCATAAACACACGTGTATGCCTGAGTGGACAAAGTATTTGATTCTAAAGTATTGATCAAATAATTTTAAGTGGACAGGATGCCACTTGCCATTATTAAATAACCACGCACGCACACACTACACATGCACACACACGCGCACTCAATTAAAACACAAATTAAGCGAACAAATAACGAATATTTCATAATTTATTTAGATATGTGAGTCTACATTTCACTGCCTTAAACTTTTCAGTTAAACAGCGCGTAAAAAAACACTTAAATCACACGTGTAAATTAAAATTGAAAAAAGGAAAAATAGAGGGATTAAATAGGCAGACAGGTAGATAGATAGATGGATGTTTACGCGGCAGAGAAATTGAAACAAGAGGGTAAATTTTTCAAGAAAAAAGTATTTCTGTGTGTGATTTCCTAATGAATAATTTTTATTATTATATTTTCATGTTTTAGATTTTCTCACGAACCAATATCAGATGAGCATGGAGCACTGGACTGTTGTTGTTTCGTCCTGTTTTGGAGCTCATCATCAGTGCATATCTGCCACCCGTTTGGTGGGGATCGAACTTGGAATCTTCTGGGTACTAGATCAAGCTGTTTTATAAGTTAATAATCAATCGTTTAGAATTAAATACTCCGTCCATTCAGGCCTGTCTGTTTATATGTGCGTGGGTGTGTCTGTTTGTGTGTTAACGCTTACACGATGCATAAGTGTATTGATTTTTTCTAATGAATATTTGAATTGCCTATGTAAAAGCATGACCAGGTGTCAATTGGACCGCTTGATTTTGATTGGTTAACTGGTACGATATCATGTTATAGCGGATTAGTGACATCAATTATAATAACAACAGTAATTATAATTATGATAATTAAGTGCTTCAATTAAGTTTATTATTACGCATATAATTAAAGGAATTTTCAAGTATGAGTTAGTTAAGGCACTCAGGCATAACTCAACCCCTCCTCCTCTTACAGTTTGTCAACTCTTACGCATCTTGCCTATTCATCTTTACTGTTCAGCCTTATTCTTTCCTGAACTGCTTAAAAAAAGACTATGTTATACTTCGTAGAACTCTGAGGACTGTCAGTAAGGCGAGTGGTATCCCATTGGGCCATATCGTTGACATCGTCATCCACTTTACCCACAGCTCCAAGCTTGTGTCTCCTCCTCAGGTAAAACAAGAAGTCCTTTCAGAAGACTTTATGAACGTACGTTTAAGTATAACAATTCCACTATACCATATTTGAAGGCGCGTACATTATGTGATGAAAATAGTGTCAGGCATGAACCAACTAACTAACCTTCTTTGTACTACTAAATGAACCATTTCCTCCACCCTTACAACACTAACCTTTATTTAATTGTTATTGTACTTCTTATATTTATAATCCTCTCAATTGTTTGTTTTTATTTGTTTATTTTTTCATAAGTGTTAACGTCATTTAAGCTGTATTATAACTGTTAATTTTGTCTTTCCCCTCACTATACTATATCAACAGAACAATAGATTTAATAATCTATAACATGCTGTTTGGAACAAACTCACTGTTATTATTATCATTATATTTATTATTCTGAATTCGTACTTCGGCTATTTTTGACTTTATACCGTAAATGTGGACAAATTCCTGTGCTTAATTTTATTTATATTTTGAGCAAATTAGATAGAAGATATTGTGACAAATGCTTAGAATTCCATTCTGTATTATAAGTACTGCTCTTCTGGAATAAAGTCGATTATTATTATTATTATTAGCATTAAGAGGTTTTATTGATCACACGTCTGATCTTGGAGTGGTTTTTAAAACCATCAGAGAGCACTGGACAGGGGTGTTTTATCCTTGTTCGAGACTCTTCAGTAAGCATTACGTTCCAATGACTTCATTCACTGTTGAAGCTAAAACATAGGACCTTAAGGTTAACAAAGACAGCTCGTTGACCATTACTCAGACACCGGGGATGCGTGGGGAACCTGATGGCCAGTTCACGTTATTAAAGCGTAAATGACAGCCAGTATTATCAGCGAGCATTTTTCCTTACACCCTACCTCCAACTTGGTGGACTGCAACTGGTCACGATGTTCGAAGCAGAACTTCAGGGATGTACCTGCACTTCGGTTTAATCAGTCGACGGGAAAATCTCAAATTCAATAAAATTAATATGACCCGTTGCACAAGAGGTGGCTCTCATGGCCTAAGTGGTCTAGTGGATAACGCTTTGGCGTTTGGAACTATGGGTACTGGGTCCGAGCCTTGGTGTGAATATCATCACTCACTGAGAAATTCAGGTACATCCAGTAGCTGACGAGTCCAAAACAGGACGAAATGCGCATTATCCTGGATTGATTCCCCTGCTAGTCACCATTCACCAATTAAATCTCCACTTTGTTAATTCCCTGGTGTCCTCTTAAGCTGGGTCCACTATTGCCCAAACTCTCTCATCTCTTCCACACACGATCTGTTCCATATCACCCTAGGAGGATCCATTCGTGAATTCCTATTTGGATTCCATCCGAGAGATCGCCTGCATTGCGCCTGATGTAATTCGACTGTCTCTCTTCAATGTATCAATCCATTCCATATTCTCATACATATTTGTTGAGTGATCGGTTCTCGCATGTTGGTTTATTCCTACAGTTTCTTGTTACTTATTCTTTCCCGACCAGCCATTTCATCTTCAGTATGGAGGCAGCCAGTGAAGGCAACTGTTGATAAAAGTCTGCAGTTGCTTTGCTGGAAATCCTTTTCGTTACACACTGGCCAATTTTCTGATTAATATAGAAGGACAGACTTGACATCATTGATGTTGGAAATGTGAATCATGCTCCATATATGCTGGCTGAGTGAAGAAGATTTCCACGACTGGTTTCAGGTTGATGAAGGCTAGCGTATCTTGCCTTTCCGATTCTGGCTGACTGGTTGGTTGGTGTTGACATTTTCATCCGTTCCAACTGCTGTAGTTGAAACGATGCTTCTAGATAAGTGACGCAATCAATAACCCTACCTAATTTTTACTCTCGCTTGACAAACCTACTGTACACCACACACAAACCGAGATAGAAAAATAATTATACATAATTGCGATATTGTATGGCTAAGTGAATGAATTCATCGCTGAAAAGGGGAGGGGGGAATCATGGCAGTCAGAGAAGTGATCACAGAGCTATTCAGGTGATTGACCCCTCTTGAGGATTGTAATGGATATACTGATTGAACTCTAGGTAGCAGATTTAATTCTATATTTTATCCATAAATCTGCACCAATGTTTCCTGCCTTTCTCCGTTTAAACAAAGTCTACCATGGAAATTCCTGAAAGGCGCGGTTAAGAACTTTAAGAACGCAAAAACTATGCAGAAAATGAATCAGTTGGAGGATTTCATCATAAGCGGGCATCAGTCAGAGAACCACTGAAAAAACGGCCATAGAAAGCATTGCCAGACAGCTGTTTCGTCCTAGTTTGGGACTCTTCATCAGTACGCACCCACCTACCATCATGGTTAGAATCCAGGACCTTCTAGTTACAAGGCGAGCGAGCTCGTAGACGATTAATTCATTCACTGGGACTCAACCGATCCAATGGCCAGCCAGTCCATGAATTCTAACCTCTGCCAACTCATAATATAGCCCGACCACTTCACAATGTCTTCTTCGATGAGTTACTGTCTCACCTTCAACCTGCTGCACCTTACCAGTCACGGTTTCTCACCAAATCTTGAAAAAAAAATGAATACTTACTTTTTACAATCACTTGTATATCATGATAAATTCTTCCCATTGTTGATTCGGCTACACAGGTGACATTCAACGACTCTGATAAATCTTTTAGTAGAAGTTTTGCTGTCCCTGGAGGTTGTTTACTCAACTGATCTTGATGTAGGGGTTGATGTTTATCTTTGTACCATTGGACGGTGGGTACAGGTGCACCGACAGCAGTACAACTAAGGGTGACACGACCACCAGGCGGTACAATCTGACGAGATGAAGGCAGTTGAGTGAAATGAGGACGAAATCTTTTGGCTAAGAGGAAGAGACAAGAAAAAAGTGATATAATAGGACAAGAATAAATATTTTTCCGCAGAAATCATTAATTTTTATAACATTTTAGACAATGTTAAAAATTCGCATGATAAAATTTAGAACAGTACATTTCAACACTGGCCATTTCGTCTGGATCCGGCTTGATTCAAGTTTAGTCACGGACTGATATCAGTTAGAGAACCACTGAAACCCATCAGGGAATACTCGACAACTATTCGCTCCTACTTTGGAGCTCTTCAGTAGTGCGCACCCACCAGAGAGGTTCAAACCCAGGATCCTCCAGTTACAAGACAAGCCCGTAGACCATTGGATCACTTGGACTCGGTCCACTGGCCAGCTCATGAATTCCAACTTCTGCCAGTTCGTGACTAGTGGGATCCACGAAGTTGGATGTGAGAGCAGATGCTCGCTGACATTGGCATTGCCTGGCAATCGTGCTAAAATCATAAATCTGCAGAAGCTGGAATTCATGGAGTGGTCATTTGATCGTGTACCAGTGACTGAGTGATCTAGGAGCTTGCCGTGTGACCAGAAAATCCAGAGTTTGACTCCTTGTGACGAGTGAGTACTGCTGAAGAGTCCCATAGCAGTAAGGGACAGCTGTTCAGTACTCCCAGCTTGTTTTCCCAGTAGTTCCTCTAACTGATATCAGTTCGTGGTCAGACCAATAAATACAAGCAGGTCATAACGCTTTGTTAATAGAATGAGAACAAATAAATGTTCAAATATTGGACGCAGATAATCGATAAAGGCTGAAAAGAACAAATAAATAGTCTGATTAAGTAATGCTATATTGTAATTGAAGTAATTTAAACTATGCTTTTAATGAAGGTGTAATAAGATTAAGGCATAACAAGAGAGGGATTGAAAATGTAAGCAAGGCGTGGTGGTGGTGGTGGTGGTAATATCATTATTCGGCTGAGTTTTAATTAGCCAAATGAGAGATAATAACTGTACGAACTTCTTCTGCGTGTCTGGTTCGAATGTCCATCGTCTCAGCTATATGCAGTCAACAGCAGTCTTGTCTGTCATATCTACAACAGACTTAACGTGTGCAAATACGATTCGCAGATATGTGGCTTTACTTTCTAAGAAACAGTCACAAGCAGTACAGAATAACCTTCAGGAAGAAAAACAACCACTCAGAAGACGTTGCTGCTTCTCTGCTAACAATAACGCTAATAATTGTGTACATAAAAATCCATAAATATCTGTTGATTTCCTCAATAAACGATCTGTTTCCTGATCCTTTTCTTCTGTCGCTACACTACTACTTTCAGTCTGATTTTGTGAACTCACGGCTTTGTTTAAATTTCCTCACAGAATATAATAAAAATAATAATTTTTCCTTCACATTCCCCTGTAGAACATAGGGCTTCAAGCTAGTGGCTTGAAGTTTCTGTAGAAGTGTTTATTTTACAGGATGAGGTTGCTAGCCTCATGCCCAACCTTTCCTCTTTACCGGGATCATTCCTGGCTTAGCGAGGTAAAGGAGTGTGCCGGCCGGGAATCGATCCCCGGACCATGTGCATGGTCGGCGAGCGTCCTAACCGCTATGCCACCGACGCACCCGCAGGATATAATCTTTTAATATATATACGATTGTACATCATGACAATAAATTCATTGAAAAGATCCTCTTCTCTGAATATTGTATTCTTAATGTTATAATAGGAGTTATTGAATTATTATCAATGGAATTATCATCTTGTTCGTAAGTCACCATACCTCGATTATTTACAGGATTTCATTATGAGTTGACATCGGTTAGAGAACCATTGGGAAAACCGAAGATTACTGTACACCACTGTCCTGTCCTACTTTGGGACTCTTCTGCAGAGGTCAAATCCAGGATCTTATGGTTACACATGAAAAGCTCATGGGTCATTCAGTCTCTGGGAGTCAATTCAATGACTGCACAATGAATTACAACTTCTGCCAGCCAAGTTAAACATTAAGCACCACTAACTAGCAATCAGCGAATGACCTTGAATGATCCAATGAATTTCATCCACATGAGTTTGAGGTTCTATATTCCGCTTGATTCGAGTCCAATGCCTGCTGTAAACGGAGTTGCGTTTGCAGTTTAGTGAGGATAAGGTTTTCCCGTATTGTTTGGATGTGGGGTTGATATGTATCCACATGATGTGTGTGTTTGTTTTTGACAGTCTGTTATATATTTTGCTATGTGTATATGGATCGATATTCCATTATAACTGACATTATGCTTTTGTCTGTCCACTAACTAAATAAACAATGTATGACCTTATCATCACATGACATAACAACCAATCATGGCAAGACGTTATCTATTGGATCATGTGTATTAGCCATTTTCATGTATACTACTCGACGAGTACATAACATAATTGGCGACGAGGAAAACTTGAATAACTCACTCAGCAACAGTACATAACAGGGGTTGCTTAGAAAGGAGAGGATTTGTTCATGTGAAGGTATCATGAGTATAAAAAAGTTTCAGCAGGTCGATTGGTGGATATGCTCATCATTGTGCAATTTGTTTGTGTTGAGTTGGTGTTAAGGAAGGTAAGCTGATGATTCTAAAATTTCATCGGAACATGTTTTGCCAGGGCCCATCTGTCATTAACCCAGATTTTGTATATTTGTAATTACTGGGTCTTAAAATAGCATGTGAGAGGTGCAGCTACTGAAACTGAAAATAGCCTCGTATCAACAGTTCATTAGTACTAGCACTGCAGAGACATTGCATCAGGGAAAATGGGGAGAGAATTACTTCTTTACAAGGAGGAGAAGGGAGGCGTCGTCGTACACACGTGGACGAAACATTCTCATTGAAGAAAAATACAACCGTGGTCGTGAACGAGCAAACACCTCCCTACAGAAAGGATTCGTTGCGAGAAGAGCAGACAGAGAGTCAACTACCTTAGTACCTATTATCACACACCGATGAGTGGAAAGATTATAACCCCTCGTCATCCCTTGGATATATTCATCACAGAGTGAATCATTCTTATGATTTTGTGGATCCCATTACAAGGAGGACACACACACACCATTTTTATAGAAGACTTTTAAGGGAGGTTGAAAAACAGAATTACAGCCATTAATGGATCTCAGAAGGATGTCATTTATAGTCATTTGGATGAATATATAGTACAGAATGTGGTGTAACTTTTCTGTTGACTGTCCTATGTTCAACTGGGAGATTTTTCTATGATATGTCAGAGAAAGTTGCCCTAAGTAACAGTTTTATGCATTTTTTAAAATTATTAATTATATGTTTTCCATAACCAAAAAATGCCTCTTCCATGTGATTGGTTCGTTGAAGGTCATTCGGTGATTGTTTGTTAACAGTGCTTAAAGTTTAACTTTGCCCTTCTGCCAATGCACAATGTAGCCAATGTTACCTCCGGCGGGTGTTTCCCTCACACCTGACGTGCTGTACTGTTAACCAGTAAAACCCCACAAACCAACACTTGAATTACTGGTTTATGCTTAATATTTATTTGTGAAGCTATTCAAGCACATTAGAATTAAGTATAAAGAGGTCTAACTGAGAGCATAGTATTGTTGTTCACACAGTTCGCGGTTATTTCTCCGCTACAGTTAACTTTGTAAACCAAGATTATTCGATCCCAACATGTGACCTACCTGACACCATAAATGGTGATCAAGAAATTTAGCATATTTGCATAAAAACTATATACTGCTGGGAGTAATGTTCAGATGTTTCGTCCTAGTTTGGGACTCTTTAACAGTACTCACCCACCCACATCCAGGGTTCGAACTCAGGACTTTCTAATGACAAGGCGAACGAGCTCATAGACCAGTAAGCCACTAGGACCCAATCCAGTGGCCAGCCCATGAATTCTAACTTCTGTCAATTCACGACATAGCGGGACCATTTCGCAATGTCTTCTTCGATGAGTTACTGCCTCATCTTCAACCTGTAGTGGGAAACCTTGACCAGTAGGGTACAGCAGATTGAAGGTGAGGCAATAAATCATCGAAGAAGACATCGAGAAATGGTCGCGCTATATTGTGCGGAATCGGTAGAAGTAAGAATGCATGGACTGCCTGGCCATTGGATCGGTTGGGTCCCAGTGACTTAATGGTCTAATAGCGCGCTCGTCTTGTAACCAGAAGGTCCTGGGTTCAAACCCAGCGAGTATATACTACTGACTGATTTAAGTGAGTAGTTGCATGTCACTCATAGCTGGATATTACTCACATCGTCAACCAGTAGTGATAGCTAGTCAGCCAATCAGATCGGAGTGATCTGAACACCGAATGTCTACATATATATATGCATGTATCAGTTGATATTTTGAAATTCAACACTGTAAAAAGCACCAAACCTCAATATGTTAAATATCTTACAAATCTGCATTCAAGAACAAGATTGGCAAAAGTTGCATTTTATACACAAAGTAATAACATGGTAATAACAAAATGCATTCAGTTAGAAGAAGAGCAAGCAATTTTTTTCAAAGCATATCCTAACACACTGAAGTTTCAGGGTACTACGCTACTTATTATGCAAAGCCTTATCAAACGTGTGAAAGGTAATTAAAAAGAAATTACTGGTGGGAAGCCAATAAACAATGATCCCCCCTTAGTTGATGCTGACAGGTTGAATAAGTTTTTCATATATCGTCCAACCATTTCCCACAAAAACTGGAAGATATGCAAGTGATGAAAAGCAACAAGTTGGCAGAAGAAGAAGCATTCAGAGAAGATAGGAATTCAGATGAACATAAAGAAAATAGAGGTAGGTGATGAAGATTCCTGGCCAACACCAACAGCAACAACAACAACAGGCAACAATCAGCATAAGTGGGAGAAATACGAAGGGAGAAACCTCCTTCACCTACCTAACCACCTACCTGTGAAGCACCGTTTCAACTACAGGCGGACAAAACTGATGAGGACATCAAAGCAGCGAGGATCGGGAGACCAAGGCAATTCTTCATTACTCTCATGTCTGTGTGAAGGTC